AAACGTGGGGAACTTTAACCTTATTTTGACTGACAAATCACTCTTGCACAAAATAAACACAAACGCCTTCTCTTTATCTACGTGAATATTTATTAAATCAACACACCTGATAAACTCGCTCTTCCAATTCAATAATCTTCACCTAATCAAACATGCAAAGTTCTACACAAAAGAGAAAAATTATCTAACGATTATCGAACGGTCCGTCCTTGTCCTTTGGCCTCCTTGGCAGAAAGGTGAAAAATATGACGGACCGTCAGTAGTCGACTGGAACAAAAAAAAACAAGGATGAAAATTACTTCTCCTTGAAACCTCCGTGGTTTTTTGGTTACGTGTTAAATCCACGTCTTCGATCGGTAAAGTTGAAACTTACAAGCCTTCTTATTCTTGTAAGTTTAATTCGCTTAGTTTTCTGGCCAATGGGAGAATGAATGAAAGTCCACGTGTGAGTTTCTTCTCCAGAATGACGTTCCAGTTGTGAGGTAACCGCGTCTCGGTTCCAAGCTGAAAAGCAATGGGGGCGGTCTCAGAGTATGTTATATAGCCCACTGTGACATCAGAGTTGCGACGCCCAATCCTATTAGCCGCGGTGCCCGCTGGGATTTGTAGTAGCAGACTATCCTGGGGTACAAAATGGCTGATAACGCTGAACAGCATAGTGGCGTCCAGCAATGTACAAATGGTCCAATATTCAACAAACAAATGGTCCAACATACCAAAATCTTGACAAATGTAATGAATATGGTTAGCAATTCATCAAATGTGGGCGAATGTGGCTGAGTGGGTACAGTAGTCGTCTTGCAATCGGAAGGTTGTGGGTTTAATTCCAGCTTCCCCTTGTCACATGTCGATGTGCCCCTGGGCAAGGCACTTAACCCCAAGTTGCCTACTGATCTGTGCATCAGTGATGAATGTGTGCTCGTTAGTGAGTGCGAATGGCTGAATGTGGCTCTAGTATAGAACACTTTGAGTGGTCGGTATAACTGAAAAAAGGAATTCAGTTCATTTATCATTTACATACAGCAATCTGTCACATAACTGTCTATACAGGTCCAAATGCTTTTTAAATGAGGTACACAAACTAGATGGGAAGTGAGCTTCATTGATAATGGGAAGTTTCAGTACTCATGCCAAGCAGAGTTATGATAAAGTTAGACTTAATCTACTCAAAATGGTCTTAAAACTGGTTAGATCAAGTGTCTGCATTAGAAAGTGTTTTATTTTAACTTCAGTTGTTGTGCCGGTTGTCCATGCGCTTCCAGTGAAAGGATTTTCTGCTCAAATGTTCCTTTTCAGGCAATCATTGAGGAGCTCCTGGAGGAGAACAGCTACTATGAGGCAACAAACAGCAGGTGAACTGGAAATGTGAAAATATTATGATCCTTACAAATATATTGTAAGACAACACAAACATGAAAAATCACAAGTAAGTACTGTCCTACCAAAACCCTGATGAGTTTGATTTAAATCGTAGTTATCTGTTTTTCTATCCTACTAGGCTGAAATTAATACATGTTGTGTGTTTGCTCTGTGTTTTTGGACATGTGCTAGTTAGAGTCAGTTAAAGGAAGTTTAGGGACTCTCCTTCACTGACATACATTATGCTTCTTTAATTTGGTGTGTTTTAATTTTTTAGGGCCAAAGACAAAAGAAATAACCAAGCAGGGAACTGGGAGTAATCTGTAACTGATATCCACTTCACCCAGAAGTCTGAACGTGACACTGGGAATGAGATCATTCAGAAACTGGGACCAGTGTAGATACACCCATAAGCACAAAGATCAAAGCAGCATGTCGACATAGAGAAGAAAAACAGTGGTTATATTAATGAGATGCAAACTGACAGGAGTGCTGTTAAACAGTTTATAACTCTAGGATTTCCTATGCACAGGGCAGCTATTTTCAGTTTGTCTGAGGCTCATGTGGTTTTACAACTTTGGAGAGAACTGTGATTTTTTTTTGCATGTGAAAAAGGACCATAATCCTAAAAGAAAAATCACTGGACTATTTCAAAAAAACATTTTGCTTAATTCCATCACGCATGCAGAGTAAGGAAGCTTATAATGTAATAAATCTGAAATACAATAAACTAATGTTTAAATACAGTGCCTTGCAAAAGTATTCACACCCCTTGGACCTTTCCCCATTTTGTCATGTTACAACCACAAATTTCAGCCTATTTAATTTTGTGCGATTGACCAAAACAAATCAAAATCTGAAAAGTATGACATGTATTTTACAGTGTACCAGCTATTATTTCAGGATTCCCCAATATTTAGCTCCATCAATTTTTCCATGAACTCTGACCAGCTTCCCCGGTCCAAGCTGAATAAAAGCATCTCCACAACATGATGCTACCACCACCTCCTCCCACTGTGGGGATGGTGTGTTCAGGGTTAGCTTTTTACCACAAATAGCGCTTTGGAAGAAAGTGAAAAAGTTCAGCTTTGGTGTTACTAAACCATGACACCACCTTTCACATGTTTCCTGTGTCCTCTACATGGCTCGCAGCAAACTTCAAAAAATACTTTTTATGACTTTCTTTCAAAAATGGCTGTTTTTTGCTATTTTTTTGTAAAGGTCCAATTTGTGCAGTGCACAACTAATAGTTGTAGTGTTACAGATTCTCCCACCACAACTGTGGATCTCTCCAGCTTCTCCAGAATAACCATGGGCCTCTTGACTGAATAAAAATGCCCAGCACACAAAAAGAAAAGTGCATCATTTTTCTTCCACTTACACTTCTACTTTGAGTTAATCAATCAGATAAAATACCATTAAAATAGTGTTTTGGTTTGTAATGTGACAAAATGTGAAAAACATAAAGGGGTGTGAAGGCAGTGTGCCTATAAACTGTAATAACACAACATAAAATGTGTATTGGTTGGCACTTTGCATTAGTAGTTTTAAAAGTACCACAGTGGAAACATTCATATCACCCTCAGGCGTTTTTGCATCTCACATATTGATAGTCTGTACAAATGTGATGTGACTGTATGAATCTCTAAATATAATTTAACACTCATGTTTATGATGAAGACTAAGGCCAACTTATTTCTGTCCTGGATATAAATGTAAACCTCTGTGATGTGCTTCTGCCTCTGTGTTCTGCAGCTTTCTGAGCACACCATTTTAAATTCTTTGGATTGAGCGGTTTAACTGTTTTAACTCATCGCTGCACAACTGCATGTGACAGCATGTGCTTTTTTACCTTCAACCCACAATTTCCTCCTCATATATCTGTCAAATAACTGATAAGAGCTTTCACTTTGATGTAGCACATCTCAGTGTCTGGCTGTAAGTAAAATTAAAAACAAGGTCAGATGTTTTATGTACTTTCTGTGCACTGTAAAGTTTGAACTGAAGAATAATAACTTTGGTATAGTGTAAATTCATTGTATAAAAATTTTCAATGTAATTCTTTAAGCATTTAAAATAAATATTTCTTATTCACTTTGATACAGAAAGACCTGATATTCTGTCCTATCGGTTATCAAGTTATGAAAGCTATTCACTATAAACAACCTCTTTAATTTGTTTGATTACATGTATTTTATTTGAGGCATTTAGTAGGTTATAAGGTTAGTTCCATCCATCATTAAGTGATTGGTTCCCATTTTCAGCATTTTTGGCAGTGAATGGGTTGTAAAACAAACCTGTAACTGATTCATTGCTTTCCTGCTGGGATTAATTATTTCATTTATCAGACTGCATTTGAGCAGTAGACCTTGGTAAATAAATTTGACTAACAACTGTGCTATTGACTTTTTTTAAGTTGTGGCCATGAAGTCCTAAGACCTCCAAGATGTCAGTCAGTCGAACATTTTCTATACCACTTCATCCATAGTGGGTCACAGCGAGCTGGTGCCTATCTCCAGCAGTCTATGGGCGAGAGGCAGGGTACACCCTGGACAGGCTGCCAGTCCATTGCAGGGCAACACAACACACAAACAACCAAGCACACACTCATTCACACACCAGTTAACCTAACAGGCATGTCTTTGGACTGTGGGAGGAAGCCGGAGTACCCAGAGAGAACCCACGCATGCACGAGGAGAACATGCAAACTCCGGGAATCGAACCCAGAACCTTCTTGCTTCTTGCAAGGCAACAGCGCTACCCACCGCGCCACCGTGCAGCCCACCTCCAAGATGTATTGAATTATGATTAATTCCATCCACTTATTTCTACACAGTATGCAATCTGAGCACATTTAATTACAGTAGAGTCAGAATCAAGTCAAGTTACATTTCAGTTCAGTGAAATATTCCAAATCACAGTGCACTGTAATTATAACGCACTTTTATTACAACCAGATTCAGTAAATTAGTTATAAAATGCCACTTTTAAACATTTGATCTAAGGTAGCTAACAGAATGCATCATATTATAAATGCCCTGCCTTGCTGTTCTGAGCATGCACAGGGCGACAGTGGAGAGGAAAAATCACATTTAAGAGAAAGAAACTTCTCGAAGACTTCCACACTCATCTGCAGATATGATAGGCTTAGGCTGCTGTCTATTATTTTACAATAAACCACAAAATATGGTGGAAATGTCGTTTAAAAAAAATTTACAATCAAAATCATGGGAAACCTTTCACTTCAATGTAAAACAAAGCACCTTTCAAATCACAAATCACTTCACATACATAATTATCACTTGCATTTCTGGATCGAGGTTTCCGTGTAGAGGTGTGAGGCAACTCATAACACAGTTCAACAAAGAGCAGTACACTTTATTAATAAGGTGTTTTAAGTAAATGCTGTTACTTTTTTAACTCACTTCAAGTGTGTGAATCTTGAAAAATGCTCAACTGCACAAGTGCCATATTTTACGTAGAAAGGAGGGTTTATAGTGGAAGGAGGTCATTAAATGAGGTGTAAGGATGACAAAGACAACTTTCTGCTTAAATGTTTGTTGGAGGAACCGTTTCCTTAATTTATATCCCTCCTCAGTTTTATTGGACATGAAATTTGAGCCGTTTATATATAAAAGAGATTGGTAACTATGGGTTTGATAAAGATTCATAAATCCAATCACATAAACCAAAATGAAGTGTCTATGTTTATATATGACACGTTTTTATCTGTGATTTTTTTTCCAAAGCACTAAACTCCAGCAACTCTGTTCTACAAATATTTACATGGTTTCATTTACACTGAGATTTCAAGTGATTGCAGATGATTTAACGCTATGTGCAAAAGTCTGAAGTAATCTTCCATCTTTTCTTCATACTTTGTTTCCAAGCAGCCAGACATTCTTATAATCTTTTAAAGTGGTCTTGATAATAGTGCTCCAGGCTATCTAAAGCATGTTTCTTTAACCCTTTCTGCTTTTTTATGTACGTGAACATTTTTGGTGTTTTTAATTAAGCAGTTTACCTAATTTAAAAAAAAACTGTAGACATAAAAAGGTTCCTGAACCCAAGCATTGTATCTGAGCTGTGTCAATACCAGACAACTTGGCAGAGTAACCGTTTTAAATTGGACCTGTAGGTGCTGCCTTTCCCGTAGCATGTCACAAACACACACTTTGTTTCAATTTCATTAACTGAATCAATGGAAAAAAAACAAATATAATGCTGTTTCACAGACAGAAATAAGGATTACAGCCAAGGTGATAAACCTGAAACAACAGATGATTGAATGAAGGATGATGGACATTTTAGATCCTGTATCAAATATTTAATAAGCGTTAATTCTGTTTTTTTAAATACGTTTTGTCTGCTGGACATATTTTCTTTAGGTCTAATCTTTTTTTATTATTATTATTATTTTTAATTTTGAAGCATAAAGTACACACCATGCTGTCATGCTGTTAAACAAGGACTGAGAAAGAAAAATGTATTTAAAAAGAAGCCAAAGTCCAAAAGTCATGGAGAATAAAAATGATCCTGGCCACTTTCAAAGAAAACAAGAAAATATGGTGGCTTGGAGGCAAAATATCAAGAAATGGGGCATCGTAAAAACCTTTACAAGACACTGTGTGTTTTAACCCACTGGCTGCAGCATTAAATTGACAAAAGATAGTTGTATTTTTCTAAAGAAAGAAGCACCCTTGAGAATATTGTGAACAGCTCAACAGTGTAGTTTAAGATTTACTGCTCAACAGATTAGTGGACATTGACACCGGTGATCAGTCTCTTTCTAAACCAGCAGGGGGCACTACAATCCTTGTGATTAAAGGAAAATTAGGTAACTTTAGAAACACACACAGCTACATGGTATGAATCTCGAACTACCTCCTCTCAGGAAAGAATAAAACATGGCAAAGTTTGATGAACAAAACATTAATAGACAAAAACAATGAATGTCTGATTTCACAAATGAAAAATTATCATATGTACATACAGGTATCATACAATGCCATTTTGTGGCCTAAAAAAATGTAAAAACTCAAAATTTTGGAAAATGTTGGCACATTAATGGCAGGCACATGTGATTTTTATAGTTCAAAGGATGCATTTTGAGTTGCTTGGCTTCAATAACTCTCAATCAAGCTTCTAAATTAAGTAATTAGTTATTACCGAATGTCAGAAATAAACAACTTTAATTTCAGGCTGACTTTTCCTTAATTTTCTTACTCTGGACCACATTTTAAAGTTTTTTTTTTAAGTCTAAAATGGCATTTTAACTCGGATATTAATTTTAATGTACTTCAGGTATACTTGCAGCTGTGTGCGGCTGTATCATCAGTGTGTCAGCACAATAACAAAGACAGAGTGGTTATCGACTTAAAAGCAAAAGAACAACTCACTAATAAGGCAGTTATTACAAAACAGAAAACAGGAAATAAAAATAAAGTAACATCATGACATCACTACATAGAGGCACCTGTAGACTAACACTGTCCCACAGTGCAACAAAGGCTACAAAATCATTTACTGGTAAATGTTTACATGTTTATTCCTGATACAAAGAAAGAAAAAACGATAAACCATTGTTAATGATAATCTGCATTTAAATCATTTCATTCATAAGGTCTAAGGAGATATGTATTTTATCTTTAGCTTAATAACGTGGTGATAAATCTTTTATTATGCTGGAGTGCGATCCAACAGACTGCCAGAAAAACTGAGAACTAAACAAGCAGCTCATACGTAACTACATCTTTTTATACCTACAGTGGATATAAAAAGTGTAAAACACCTTTATTAAACTGTCAGATTTTTTGCAACGGAAAAATAATAGAACCTCAATAAATCATCTACATTTTTAGCATGTACATGTAAATATTTAGTGACAAATCTATGTATTCCAGTCTGCCCCTCATGTTTAGAGATCAGAAAAAAACTTGATTTAATTTTTTCAATATGTAACAAGTGTGTTAGTGCAGTCATTCAAAGGGTATTTGGTAGCGATCAGCAATAATTCTGATTGGATAGCTAGCCACTTATGAAATTTGCAGAGTTCTTTTGCTGTCCTCCCCTAAAAAGACAAAAAAATGACCTTTTTACCAAGAGATCACCTGGTCACTTCTTCTTGGTTAAATTGTTGAAATTATTAGTTGGAAAAACTGTAGCAACCAGGGATGGGCATTTATTGTATCTTTTATATATATCATGAAAAATGTTCTCATGATAAGAATTTAGATTTGTCATGACAACGATAAATTCCAATTAATTATGTTTGAAAACCCCAAAAACTGCATTGTTTGTTCCATGAATGTCAGTAAATTCGATGATATGATTAAATGCAGTTACTGGGTGCAATTTAGTGATAAGAATCAAACACTTTATGTAACTGGTGTCCTGATAAACCCTATTTAAAATAGGTCTGTTTTTTACAAGCAGTATTTGTGCTTGTGGGGCACTGAAAGCAGTGGCAATGCAGTCACAACCATAGTGGCCTAAAGATTATTGTTATCCCAATAAATACCACAACATATTGTGATAAACTCCACATTTATATTGTCCACCCCTGGTAACAATTGCATGAATGCTACAATCAGTTCTTAAGACTTAAAGTGATTTTAATGTTAATTTATGTGAATTTCCAGGGAAAACAATGGTACATTTGGGGCCAATCATACACCAGGCATAAAATAAGATAAAGCAGTGACATTCGGAAAAATGTGTTCTCACAAAACCACACTTGAACTTCTGTACCATAATTTAATTTCTCCATTGTGAGATCAATAAAGTTTATATTATTATTATTAATTCCAAAAAGGTAGCGTATGTCTGTCACAAAAACAGCACTGCCCATCACCAAAGGACACCATACCCACAGTGAAACACGGTGGTAACAGCAGCACGCTGTAGAGTTATTTTTCATTGGATAGAATTTAGATTTTTTAGTAAGTTGAATAAAATTATGAATATTTCCAAACACCAGCCAATTTCAACCTAAAACTTTCAGGTGTCTGCTAGAAAACTGAGGATGAAGCAGGATTTTAGTGCTACAGCAAATCTGAGCATACATCCAACTAAAGAATGTCTTCTCTAAAGGAAAATGAATGTTTTGCAATGGCCTAGCCAAAGCTCAGAGCAGAAAATCTGTGTGATCACCTCAGGAGGGCTGCGAACAAGAGATGTCCTCTCGATCTGACAGTGGGCAAATTTTGCTAAGCTAAACTGGGGGATGGTGACAGACTTCTCTGTTCTCTTCTGAATGCTGAAACTACAACAAACGATGGTTCAACAAATTATTAGTTTGAGAGTGTGCACACACACAGGCAACCAGGTTGTTGCACCTTTTGGTTCTAAAATGTTAAATGTTTTGAAATTATTAATTATGACCCTGTTTTTTGGCAGTTTAACAAGGAGGTGTACACATTTTTTACCCTCTTGTTTGCCCTGTATCAAGTTGCCCACATAATTTGGGAACAACATGAAAACCAATTCAGTACAGTTAAATGTTTGACCTTTTTTTCCTTTTTTTGTCTTTCCCTTTACTTGTTTCCTAGTTACATCTGTTCACGGCTGCAGTGAACAAGTTTACATTAAAAAGCTTTAACAAATCCCTTCCACATGTGCCATCTCTTTCTAAACCAATACTTACGGTGTTATTTAATGAGGTAAAAATTAATAACTCATGCAAATATAAATATAGTAAGAACCAGATATGGTAAACAAAAGCTGAGAGCGGTTCTCAGTGGTTATGAGGTGCCTGCAACAACGTTGCAGGGAAATAAGAAGAGA